TACCCCTGGAGAAGTTAGCGCCGTCCTTAGTAATGGCTTCAAAAAAGCTAAACCATTACTTTCAAGCCCACAAAATTGTGGTGCTGACTGAACATCCTTTGAAGTCCCTGTTGCAGCGGAGAGATCTGACAGGCAGAATAGCCAGATGGGCAGTGGCCTTGGGCCAGTATGACCTGGAGTACAGACCCAGAACAGCAACCAAAGGCTAAGTCTTGGCTGACTTTGTGGCCGAATTCACTCCAGGAGCCATTGTACATCGGGCTCCATTAAGCCGAGGTGAACGATGTCCAAGCCAACAAAGAGGAGCCCAGCCGAAGGCAACAGAACAAAGGAAAGAAGAAAAACTCAGGCCCTGCAACATTTACATCAGCGACTCCTTTCGACTGTTTGTTGATGGGAGTTCAAACCGACAAGGAGAGGGGGCAGGAGTTGTACTGGTATCTCCAGATGACAGATACTAGAACAATCCATTCGTTTGGAGTTCAAGGCCTCAAACAATGAAGCAGAGTATGAAGCACTGTTTGCAGGACTAAAATTGGCAGCTGCAGTAGAAGTAGATGAGGTGATAGTCTTCTGTGACTCTCAGCTTATAGTCAACTAGACAACATGCGAGTTCGCAATCCGAGATAAACATATGTCGGAATATGCAAAGGAAGTAGGCAGGTTGGTGGCCTTATTTCAGAATTGCCGACTACAGCAGGTCAACTGAGATGATAACAGTCACACCGATTCCCTGGCCAACCTGGCTAGGGCAATACAACTTGGAAAGGCAAGGACGATAATGGTCGACTACTTGTCGGGCCCGAGCATTGAACCACTGACCACAGAGCGTGAAGCAATGTGCGTGGACATAGGACCAAGCTGGATGGACGCAATAATAGCATTCCTGAAAGAAGGAAAACTGCCAGATGATCACAAAAAGACACACAAGATCAGATTGAATGTTATCTATTAATTTACTTTTCTGGATAATGTTTTTAAATATATAGTATTGTTGTGTCTCCTAATTGTCTAACAAAAGTGAATCAAATTGTGTACGTAAAAAGAGTAGTACTATATAAACAAATTTTCCAAACAAACTTTCCTTACAAACTGATGTGTCACTTAAAATATTAGTAAGTTGGGTCTTATTTTACATTTCAAAGTTATATCATTCCATGTCACATCAATTTGTAAGAAAAATTTGTAATTTTTTTTTGTTTGTATGATATTTTCCACGTAAAAATTGCCATTATTTAATTGGTTTGAAGCATCATACAAATAAGAGTAAATGATGTACAAACAAAATTTTCACATAGAGTTTCTATATAGAATAAATGTGGCTGACTTCTTGTGGTCATCTTATTTATAATCAAAACATTCACAATTATTTTCATTACTTCACAAATATTACTGACACAAAATGTATTTTTTATTATGAATTTTATGTTAGTAAATTACTTTTTTACAGATAATAATGTTTTTGTTTTTTTTTTGTTTTTATTTTCATTTTCATTTTTTAAAAAATTGAAAATAAAAACTTGTTTGGTATATTATTTTCATTTTCAGAAAAATGAAATTGATTTCAAAATTTTTGAAAACACAAAAAAGTTATTTTCATTTGTTTTTAAAACAAATTTTTACTTTTTCCTCTCACTCACCACATTCGACCACCACACATCGCCATTGCCATCACTACCAGCCATCGACCACCACCTTTCCCAGCCTTCAATGGGTGTTAAGCTCCGGTCAACCTTCAGCAAATTTTCGGCCAGTGGGCAGTCACCGTCGTGATTTTTTACCACCTCTTAGCGTCCACCTCATGTCCTCCGGCGACATTTGACCACTAACTTCAGCGGACAACTTTGGCTACCCACCACTACCAATCATCACATTTGTCCTCCCTTAATCTCTGTTCACTAAATCTGATAACTCATCAAATATATTTATCTATTTTTATTTTTATTTATTTTCAAATATTTTTATATATCAAACAAGTTTTCTATTTTTGCTTTTTATAAAAATAACGAAAATATATTTTTTATTTTTTGTAAATTAAAAACTAAAAACGTTAACATTAACAAAGAGGCCAATAATCTTATTTGTGGGTCAAGTTAATATGTACACTAATGGCACATGATAAGTAAATTTAAAAATATTATGTGTCTTCTATTATATTTACTATCGTTCATAACGTATAAATATGCAAAATATCTTAATATGAATCCTAAAAACACACGCTATACGTCAATCTCGTCTTGGAGCAATCCACGTGCGGCGCACATGATTTTGTTTAAAAGCTAAAAACGCGTTTGAAGTCACCCCACCAAAAGGTCCACTCAGACACGTGCAGTCCCGATCATTGGAAGCGCCTACCAACATTAATTAAATTAAATTTTAAAAAAATGAAAGTGAATTTGATACCTATTTTATTTTTTGGAAAGCAGCTTGTTTGGTTTTAATTTTTAGTAAATAGTTTACAAAAAAAATTATTTTTTCATTTTTTATATTTTAATATTTTCAATGAATTTTTTTAATATTTTAAATATTTTAAAAAAATTTTTAGACACACCTAACATAAATACACATAAAAAGTATAATATTTATGAAAAAATCTTTAAAAAATACACTAAATATAAAAAAAAACGAAAATTCAGTATATTTTCATATTTTCGTGTATTTATTAATTTTTTAAAATATTTTTTCACAAATATTTTACTATTTTAGATACATCTAAATAAGGTGCATCTAAAAAAGTAAAAAAATTACTTAAAATTTTAAAAATATTCATTAAAAATAAAAAAAACACGAAAAACAAAAAATTCATTTTTTAGAATTGAATTCAGAAAATTGAAACCAAATACACTGAACAATTTTGAAAAATAATCGAATTTATAGCCTTTTCGGTAATTTTTATATTTTTGTTTTCTCTGTTTTTGGTTTCGAAAGTTTTGAAAACTTGAGATGAAAGTGAATTTGGTACCTATTTTCATTGCAACAAAAAAAAAAAAAAAAAAAAGAAGAAGTTTTGAAAGTTTCAAAATTTTAGGATGTTAAAATTTAAATTACACTACTTATGTTGAGGTTGAAAAAAAATAGAGAGCAGCTTGCCTCCAGTCTGAGATTGGATTGGATGGTACTGTTTGACTCATGAGGGCCTATCATGGTCCCGTTTTGATAATTCGAACCGTTCAATGTGTACAAATCGTCGAGTATTATATGCCTATAAAAACTTACGTTAATCGGATATCGATAGGCATCTCATTAGATCAGTTTTTTGTCAATTGTTAATTTGTTCACCGTCCATTTTTTTTATACAAAACTGATTTGATCACATAGCTATCGATGTTTGATCAACGTGATTTTTTATAGGCATATAGTACTCGACGAGTTCTACATATTGAATTGTTCAGATTATCAAAATGGGACTTATGGTGAGCCCTACGAGCCGAACAATACCGTTCAATCCGATCTCAGATTGCAGGCAAATTGCATTCAAAAAAAATATCTTCCACATTTTTTTTATATAATTATCATGTGTTCTTTAACAATTCTAATTCATATAACACTTTAACTAGTTTTATCAATCATTTGTTAGATATAATTATAATGTATTTTTTTAGAATAATGTTTGGTAACTCAGGACTTTTCCCCTCCGAATCCCCCTAATGCCCAAAACGATTAGGTTTTTTTTTTTTTTTTTTTTCATTTTTTTCCTCCATTTTCAGTCTGAAACTAAAACGCAGGGGGAAGAGGGAGAGGGAGAGAGAGAGAAAGAGAGAAGAAGAAGGAAGAAGAGGGCTGCGAGCCTCGCCGCCCGCCGTTGTCGCCTCACCGCCAGCTCGTCGCAGCGGCAGCAGCAGCTCCAGCTCCGACCGCCTCTCCGCCTCCGCCTCCTCCTCCTCCTCCTCGCCTCCTCCTCCCCCGAATATTATGCCCCCTCTAGTCCCTCCTCCTCCTCCCCCTCCAGTCCCTCCTCCTCCTTCTCCCTCTTCCTCCTTTTTCTTCCTGGTTCTGATCTGCAAAAAAAAAAAAAAAAAAAAAAAAAAAAACGGCATCGTTTTTGGTTCGTGGAATTCGGGGGAAGGGATTTCGAGTTACGTAGCATCACTGTTTTTTTTACTATTTTAAGTCATATAACACTTTATCTAGTTGTTATCAATCATTTATTGTATTGACTAATGATATTGTCGTTTCTTTTATGAGCCACATGATCACAATTTACGTGCACTAGAAGATGCCAAATTATACTTTTTACTCTCCAACTTTTATTTAAATTCCATTTTAGTCTCTATTTCAACTTCTACTTAAATTTTAAACAGTGAGGTGATGAGAAGACCTCGGTAAAACAAGAGTTGAAATTTAACAGTTAATTGTTGTAATTAGAAAATGAGGACCAAAATAAATTTCTGCTAAAAGTCCAAATGTTAAAATATAATGAGAAATGTTAGAGATCATGAAAATTTTGTCATGAAAAGGATCATGAAAAATTTGTGACCTTTAGATTACCTTGATTAGTGTGTAGTGCTTTATTGTAAGTGTAATCCAAAGGTCACAAATCTTTCATGACCATTTTCATGAAAGACTTTTCATGATACCTAGCATTACTGAAATATAATTTACCCGAAATTAATGTGTACGGACACCAAACTATTGTCTGGCACCGTTGAAAATGTAAATAATAAGTTTATTCTTATCTTTAACTGCTTAAATTTTAGACGAGTTAGTTATCTAACACACACAAACAAACAAACCAAAAAAAATAAATAAAAATAATAATTAACATAGTATCAGAGTAAGACAAAAGACATGAGTGGGTGGAGACAACGCTAAATTAAAAGTTAAATGGGTTGCATAAGTAAATGTCTATAGAGCACATGTTCTGAAAAATTCAGCTCAAAGATAACCTATTTAAATATGGTGAAGAGCTAGTCTGCAGGGGAAACCAATGTAACATCACTTTCATAAATGGACATTAGGTGACCAGAAAGCTTGTTTTAGATTCAATAATGGGGATGAGATTGGACTTGCAACGAAGACTTTTAATTCCTCTTTATATCTTCCAATATTAAATCATATCATGCAATTAGGAAAAAGACCCACCAACTAATTCTTTCGCATTGTCAAAGAACATATTAGAACCTAATAATTTTTTCCTATTTTGTTCATACAAATAATATTACATTTGGTTCCTACTCTAATAATACATCAACTTTATTCATATATCTTCCTCATCAGTAATATCTCCTTCCCATTGTTGCAATTAGCTTTGGAGTTAGGAGAGAATAGCTAGGTAATTGAATCGTCATGCAATAATGTTACGTGCACAGAAAAAATACAGAAAAACGAATTCAAGTCACACATTGACTTTGACTTCTTTGTATATTTTTTTCTGTGCAATAGCGTTATATCTTGTTGAATCGTTCATGTCCACAGAGGCTCCCACATGTTCTCATCTAGCAAGGTCGGATTATTGACATGGAAGCTGATCATTTGAGGATTGTTGATCATGAAGTTGTCGAAAGATTGTTGTTGTTGTTGAGGCGGGGCTGCTTGTGGAGATTGACCCATTTCCATGCAAATAAAGGTCACTAGGTTTTCTTGCTGGCATTGCATGTTGATGAGCTCGGCTTGTGCCTTTGCTAGTTGGGCTTGGAGATCACCAACTTGCTTTTGGAGATGACAGATTGCCCCAGCACATCCATAAACCGGATCCCGGAGCCTGGCATTGGCCTCGTATACCATGCTGCTCACTGCATCTGCTCTTTGAGACTCTGGAAGTTCCTGAAAAGTCATAGAAGTTTTGATCAAAGACTGGTATATGAAATTAAATTTCTAATATTTGAGAAGTTTAAAAATATTGATAGAATTAACTTGCCAAGAAGAGGAAAAGAAAGAAAGAAAGATTCAAGAGGCAATCAAACTATTTATGGTTTGTATGTTTGTGTTATGAGGAATATGAATTTTCAATTATTTTGACTATCTCCCTTGCAAAATAAAAAATATTATGTACTAAGAAAAATATTCAAAATTTGAATTTATGATGTAAATTAATTTAAACTTGATTTGGTTTTTAGGTCACATTCAGAATGGTTTTGATAAGCATATTTAAAATTCTATAATTTTTAAAAATGTTTTTTTTTGAATAAATAATATTGTTGTTTAAAAAGTAGTAGACAAATTAGACTTTTGTAAAAGCCTTGAGAGCTGTTGGGTAAAAAAAAATAAGAGAAGAGTCAATGGAGCCCAAACCAAAGTCCAAAAAGGAATTTTATTTGGTCACCAAACAAAATAAATTGTGAGAGTGTGACACTTGGGGTGGTTTGGTAAAATTATTGGTTAATGCTCCTAAGTAATATTTTACATCAATCACTAATTATTATCGAATCTAGTTTTATTCACTCACTTGTTAGATTATAGTGATTGATTAAAACTGGAATATTCACCATTTTAAATGAGCTCACGCTACCATTTTAACCAATTATATTTGAGAATTTTGTTCACCTGAGAATTTTATTCACTCAACTCATATCTAATGATATATCATATCAACATGCCAGCCTCCATGCATTACACTAATCTTTTCAGTCATCCTAATTAACAAATAAATAAAATAAAAATTTATCTTAAATAAATCTAACTGTCAATTAAATTTGAGTCTCAATCACTAAGTTCTATTGTAAAAATAAAACTTACTTTTTCCCTATTGTTAAGAAATTTAATTTCCCTTTTCCTCTGACCTGCAACAAAATGTGAACGCTTGAACTATACAACCACCACTAACTTATTACAATCAGTAATACTGTATACAAAGAATTTTCATAGAATTGGCCACACTTCACCCCCAAAAAAAAAAAAAAAAAAAAAAACTTTGTTGAAATTATTTGATATTCTTGAGGCAATGTCCCAATGAATCCAAAAGGCACTTGATAATGTAAGGCCCATCATAAATATAGGACTCACGCAATTGTGTGAAATGAGTATTGACGCTGAGTACAACAATGACATTATTTTTATTTCTAAGGCCATGTTTGTTTGGACGGACTGGATTAGTGTTCTCATGACTAATAGTCTTAGGATTACGAATCCGTTAGATTATGTATCCTATCTTAACTAATAGTCAAATTTAAAATAATTAGTCCGTACTTCAATTGTTTAATCAAATATCGGATTAATAATTTTATTGAATTATTAGTCCAATCCTAAGTTCATGTCCATCCAAACAAACATAACCTATCTTAATTATGTGCTCACTATAATGGTAATGTAATTATTATTATTATTATTATTATTTTTTCTTTTTTTTGTAAAATTGACATCTGCATTCATTGATGTGGCTCCTGAAGCCGCCACAAACGAACACCACACAACTTTTCCTAGTCAAGAATGCTATTCTCTAGCTAAACTTGAAATAACTACTCTCCATATACTCAAACCTAAGTTATGCTCTAAGCTATGGGCTCAAATATCAATGCTCATGAAAATCAGCTCAAATCTTGGTGCATGGGAAAGAAAAGAAAGGCGATAAAAATATGCGATATGTCAGTCACACTTTATTTAAGTATCTGAGAACTCCAAATTAGTAGCACCTGCAAGAACTTGATAATGTTGCTGGCGCCAAACACGCGGTGAGCGGTGGTGAACTTGAGGGGATCGGTGGGGGGAAAGTACGGCGCCAACACGCATTTCTCCGCGCACCGCCGCCTAAGGATCTTGCACGCGGCACAAGGACTAACAACCACCTGATGAGATGGTGGAGGAGGAGGAGAAGATGACGATGAAGGTGAGAGAGAGTGTGGAGGAGATGATGAACTAATGGTTGTTGTTGTTGTGTCACTGGTCTCCATCTTAAGAGAGAGAGAGAGAGAGAGAGAAAGGATTTGGAAGTGGGGGGAGGAAGAATTTGGGGGTGGTTGTGGTGGTGGTGACTTGAGGTGGAGACCAATGTCTATCGGTATATTTATAGACGAATATGATGTCAGATTGGAAAATATGACGTCTATCTCTTCCAATAAAAAATAATAGTGTAGAGTGGCTGCGGTAGATTTCAGTTTTCTTTTTGGGACCTGTTTGGTTTCGTTGATAACGTTTTTGATGTTTGGATACTTGTGTGAAAGTCCGCTAGTTTGAAATTTTGATTTTCTAAATTTCAGTTGTATATTTAGACTTTTAGAAGTACTTGGAGATTTTAAAAGAAAAAAATTAAAATGAAATACATGTAATGGTCATGGAAAGTTCTAATATATATATATACTTGTGCATATGAAAAGGAAATTATGTGCTTTCGAAGGACTTGTCATTTATATTTTCCCCCCCCCCCTCCTTACCTCCTTGTCTTATGTATTACAATACATTTTGTCACATAGACAATGGCACCATATCTTTATTTTTAAATCTTTATCTTTCTGTTTCAATGCACTTCTTACTCTTAAATTATGCATTGATATTCATGTTTTTAAATTTTTTGATATAATTTAATGGTTGAAAATGTACCCCCCTTTCCTTACCTCCTTGTCTTATGTATTACAATACATTTTGTCACATAGACAATGGCACCATATCTTTATTTTTAAATCTTTATCTTTCTGTTTCAATGCACTTCTTACTCTTAAATTATGCATTGATATTCATGTTTTTAAATTTTTTGATATAATTTAATGGTTGAAAATGTACCCCCTTTCCTTACCTCCTTGTCTTATGTATTACAATACATTTTGTCACATAGACAATGGTACCATATCTTTATTTTTAAATCTTTATCTTTCTGTTTCAATGCACTTCTTACTCTTAAATCATGCATTGATATTCATGTTTTTAAATTTTTTGATATAATTTAACGGTTGAAAATGTACAAATGACATAGATTTAGAGATAAAATTCTTGACATGAGTTTCTTTTTGCCCTTTTGTCATTTTTGTTTCCCTTAGTCTTGAAGATATAAACTTGATGTTCATTTCTATAATTAGAATGATTTAGACTTTATTTTATTCATGAATTTGATATAAATTTAAAAAGAAAAAGGAAATATATGAGACAAATATAAATGAAATGAACGCAGATCCTCTCCAGTCCAAAATCTGGACTGGAGGGCGATATTTGGGCCTGTAGGACTCATCACAGGTTTCGTTTCGATGATCCGAACCGTTCATTTTGTTGAACACTTCATGTATCATAACCTATTTAATTTACAGCATTTGTCACAAAAAGATGAATGATAATTGCGTTTTGAAAAATAAATCATATATTTTTTGGTGACAAACTAAATAAATTGAACAGTTATAATTATTTTATCGATCTAAATTTTTTTGTGAATGAAATACACTAAGTATATGACAAAATAAACAGTTTGGATCATTAAAATGGGACTAGTGCTGGGCTCCACGAGCCTAAACAGTGTCTTTCAGTCTAGATTTTTGATTGGAGAGGATCCTTCTCCAAAAGAAATATATGTTAATTTTTAAATTTTTTATTTAAATTCATAATTGAAAGACAGCATTAGAGACATAATTTTGTTAGAAACTGGTTTTGGAAATTCTGAAAAACAGAATTTTTTTCAAACTTTGGTCTATTTTTTAGGTGGGACCCGTGCGCCAAAGTTGGTGGGTCAAAGTGGTAACGCGTTCTATGCCGTATTGTGATTCACGTGGTATATTTGGTTGCTTAAAACCATTATCGGGTGAATGAGAAATTGAAACCAAAGTGAATTCCATGGAAATGGAGTTTTTATGGAAATTCGTTAAGGCTTGTATAATGGCTTGTCTCACATTGATTTGGTAGGAAGTTTTGAGTGGGTTTATAAGGCATGGGATTAGAATTTGGGATAGGCCCCAAGGGGCACCCAAGTTTTGTATAGAGGGGGGTTATGGGCAAAATGGGCTAAACCCATTGGACCCAAAAATCACCATATACGCGCACGCCGCTGGCCAGCAGGCCTAGGCGCGAGTGTATGTGCACGGTGTAAGGTTGGATTGGGCTTGTCCGGCCCAATACTAATCTTTTTGGGCAAAAAATATTTGAATTTTATTTTATTTTTTAGTAAAATAAAACCTGTTAGAAATTCAAATTCAACTGTTGCACCTCTTCAGATTTTTGTACAGGTTCGGATAGATTCAAATCTGTTCCACCTGAATAGATTTCAAATCTGTTTAAATTTCAAACCCAAACAGTTTATCTGTTGAAACAGTGTTGCACCTGTTCAAACAGGTTTGGTACCTGTTTAATTCAAATTGAAAAGCCACCACAACATCTATAAATAGGCAGCCATCATTTGATGTTTTAATTAACAATTTTCGTCCAAATAATTCTGCAACTATTCTCTACATATTACTGCATTATTTTCTTGTGAGAAAGAGTATAAACATTTTGTATGTTCGTTGTAAGAAAAATTTGTAATGCTGCTATTTTTCATTGATTGATCATTTTATCCTGGGAGATAGACGTCCATATTCTAAAAGCACCATGAAGAGAACGAATCTGTCTTAAGGACACAATGTCGAACACTGGACTTGATCAGAATATTATTCAAGAATTAATCAAGTAAGTTGTTTATTTATTTTCTATTTATTTATTTATTTATTTATTTAAATTAGATTTTGATTTTATTTTTTGTAACAAAATAAAAATCTGTTTTTATTTATTTTATTTTATTTTTCTGGTTTGATTTTTGTAATCAAACAAATACTCTCTTTTCTTTTATTTTTTTTGATTCTGTTTGTTGTTAAGTACACAACAAAATTTATTCTTCTAATACAGTGAACATTGTCCTACAAATTTTTGGTTCTTGGCATCATCAGTCTTAAAGATATAACGTTGATTTTCATTTCTACAGTTTAAAAGGACTCTATTAAGGAACCTTCGTAAAAGACCCTTAAGGGTAAGTGTTTCCATGAGAAGGTAAAATTCTAGAGCCTTCGTTTTTAGAGGTTGTAATTGTTTTAAAAAATTATTAATTTTATGAAACCCTTCCAAAAGTGAGATTAGCAATCTCACAGCGAAGGTGGTTTTAAAATCTAATCTTATAATATAGGTAACCCGGCAGTGAGTGACTCCTTGCCCTTTCTCTCGACGATTCGGCCAACACAGGAACAACCCGACAGTGAGAGAGAGCATTTTTGTCTCAGTGAATCCATAATATAGGTACTACTATAGCAACCTAGCTGTTGGATCTTCGATTCTCTGCAGCTTTGTCCCTCTCTTTGGCTCTAGAGCAAAAGACGGAGACTTGCTCCAATTCACAGACCGACTGTTACGACCCAAACCTGCCCCTATAGATTTAGCATCGTAACCGGCCAGTAATCCTTGGACTACTGAAGGCCTCTGAACAGATTAACAAGATTAAGGGGCTAGCGGAAGCAAATACATAAATATAGTTGTCCAATGAGCTGTGCTGACTTATATGAACGGAATATTTAAAAGCTTTATATACAATAATCGGTAATTAACCATACATTATATCCACACACATTACAGTATTTTAAGTACAGCCAACGACATCAAATCAAGTCTTAAATAAACAGAAACCACAGAACTTAAACACAGGACGCTTCGGGAACCTCCACGTGAGGCACAATGGTTGGCTGACAACAGATCACAGGTCCAGACAAAAAGCCTTCAGGCTCGGGCTCCAGAATGCTCACCTATATATATATATATACACACAATGAGCTAAAACCCAGAGAATAACATTAAGGCAAAGAGCTTAGTGAACGAAATCCAAATATATCATAAGTAGAAAACAGACCAGAGCATAATCATTCTCATATCAGAACATAATAATGGTACATCCCATAGAACACATCACAGAACGTCTTCCGACTAGAGTAATCGGTTCCGGATATCGATTAAACGCATATCACCACAATGAAGTGGCTAACGAGATCTCGTAATTACTTGTATGTCATAGACCCGCATTTTCATGCCGTCCCCCATGACTTGGGACTATCTATGGATGTCATAATAGATTTCAAACATGGAATATTCGTTCACGAAAACATATATCATTTCAGAAATCAGAACTTATCATATTTCATTTGGAACGTAATTCATATGAACGTATCTTTACAATAACGTTACTCACAGTGGTTTCAGTAAGCGGTCAATCAATCCTCAAGTCTAGACCTACAATCACAAAACACATAACACAAGCATGTCTTATCATTACACATTCAAGTGGCCATTAAGGCTTAGCTTACATTACATTGGTTCTTATTCTTTCTTATCACATTGCCTAAAACGCACACATACACTAGCAATTCCTTGACGTCGTACATTCATTCCTTAGTGTGTTTCTAATCCATAACCTCATTATCAAAGCTTAACTAGGTCTTAGGAATGCCTAAGATGCAATGAGGATGCCAAAACATGAATTGGAACACTTAGTCAAATTTTCTGAAAATGAGGTCTACGCTTGAGCGATCATGCAGACAATAAAGCTCCTTTCGAGCGTGACTTTACCCGTTCGAGCGGACTGTAACTCAAAAAAGTACTGGATGCAAGGTTTTCACGCTCAACGGGCGCTCGACCCACGCTCGAGCGTGAAAGTACCCACTCGAGCGTGGGTCAAATTTCTGGAAAATCCAGATTGACCTCCCAAGCTCAAAACTCGAATTCAACCATCCAAAACACATCTCTTGGGCCACAAAACTTGAGATGACATAGTAAACTTGTAAAACATGAAGAATTTAGGATCATTTCATAAAATCACGGCCCAAGGGTTTGTTAAAAACTCACAATTTCAACTTCAAACATGATGAATGTTCATGAACAACTACAAGAAAAAGCGTTTTTGGCGACTAAAAATTCATTAGTCGCCAAAATTGAACCCTTTTGCCGACTAAAACAGTTTAGTCGCTGAATACCAGGCTTTTAGCGACTAAAAGGCAGTTAGTCACAGAATGTAGGGGTTTTAGCGACTAAAGGTTTTTTGGTAGCCAAAAGTGACAGTTTTTGG